CTACATTACCCGGGTTCTGCTTTTAACAGGAGTGTTCTTTAACAACTTCGGCATGTTGTCAGCAGAAACGCTATATTGAGTCATCAGAGAATTGGCTCTGGGAGAATAAAAGTTTTGTGCTATCATCTCCATGACTCCAAAGGGGCACCAAGAACTAGCCTCACACAAGGCAAAAGTGGAGAAGATTGAAAGGGAGAGGGGAGGGTGGGAAGGAGGAAGGAAGGAAGGAGTTAAAATCCAACAAATGCTCACTCTGCTTATTACCAAATGCTACATGTTTTCAAATAGTGAGTTTTTTAATTCCTTGAAAATTTTACTAATTTCTATGTCTTTTTCTTTTGCTGCCATGTACAGATCAGTGATACTCATTCACCCTGCAGTGCTTTGTCTATAATTTTCTGAGCCCAAACAAAAGGCAATAAGAACCATGCTTCAAACCAACCAAGTGGAAAGGGGAAACTTCCATCATCATGTGGGTAAATTCATAGTCACTGGGAGAAGGCGTATCCACTAGTGCACCATAATTCCAATGGTGCACTAAGCTTCAGGGAGTTTATGATGACAATTTTATTATCCATCAAACCACAGAATTGTTATATTTTAAATACTCAATGCTTAGAGGTTATTAAAGCTTATTAATAAAAAATAGAATTAAATTATCTATGTTTAAATTAATTGGCCAAAATTAACTTTTACAGCCTCTAAGGATTTTCATCATAAAATGAACAGGAATGATCAGAAAATACTGTTTTCTTTACATGTTCATCTGGGTTTACAAAACTTCTCTTTAGAAATTTCTTCCCAGGTACATGAAGCAAATCAATCACATAGTATTAATATAGTTTGTGTTCAGTTTAAAAGTAAGCTTTGTACATTTGTCATTTTCAGTATTTGTAATGTTTGCAGGAATTTAGCATTTATTACAATAGCTTTATGATTCCCACTTAAAAACATGTCATTAAATCATTGATTTAGCTATGATTTTTAAGTTGAGAGGAAGAAGTAAAGTTTGCTAAGTTTACTAAAGTTATTATAATTGTTAAGATTTTTAAATTTACCATATTTGTAAGTCATAAAATTTGGAAGAGTTAGGTACTGGGGAATGTTTTATGTATGTTTTAAATTTTAAATTAAATTTTCAAAAAGTGACCTTGAAATTTTAATTTGATAAATGTAAATAAAATATTGAAGGAATTCAATTACCTAAGTCTCTAACTGCTTCTTAAAAGATGTTGTTAAAATTTACTAAGTGTAGAATAACTTATATTCTAAGTTAAATAAAGTTCAGTAGAAATTATAAGTTAAATAAATTTTAAAAGAAGAGCTAATTTCTTCAATATTGTTTTCTAAGTGAAATATTAATTCTAAAAGCCAAAATTATCTTAAAGAGTCTTTTTTATACACAAAAGGACACCAGGAATCTCAAGATGACAACTGATCTTCAAAAGAAAATAAGTTTGCCAAGTGGAGGAGGGTGGATCTCCCCCAGGGAGGGCCAACGCAGGGGGAATGACTTATTAGGGGGCCAGGGTTTCCTTTAGAGGAGGATAGACTTCAGAAGAGTGACTAAGTATAGAAACTTAGTTTCTACACAGAGAGTTAATTTTTGTAGAAGCACAAAGAAAGGCCAAGTCAGGCTGATACAGACCTGATGTCTTTGAGGAGAATTTCAAAATTTTATCTCAGAACAATAAAAGCTACATTCCTTCTCAGTCCAGCAGGAAACAGATGGTGCAATCAGCCTGTATGATTGAGGAGAGTTTAATTAAAAAAACAGAAACAAAAAAAAAAAAAAACAAAGAAAGAAACTATACAAAGACGTGGGCAGTGCTTAAGGAAACCAGACAGAGAATTCTAGCACCCAGGGACAGCAATAGCAGGAAAATCCTATGGACAGTGGAGCCTCGTGGCTATAGTCGATCAGGCCGCAAAGAGGCAGACATGATGAGCACGGAAGCATTACCTTGGCTGGGCCCAAACTGATAGCAGATGAGGATGCTTCCAGGAGTACTCGAGGATGGCTCTCTGGAAAAGGAGTCTGAATGGCCTTTCCTGAAGGACTCAGCCAGCCCCAGGGTAACTGGGCAGGGAGGTGGCCTGTGTTAAGCACCCTGATTGCCCCTCCTTCCAGCCTCACATCTCTTGCAGGTGTTTCCTGTTGGTAAAATGCCATCCATCAGACACTCCAGGGCAAGAGACCTTGTAAATCCTAATCCGAATCTGTGCTTTCTACACAGAGTTCGTGGAGAAGGCTTGGACAAACAGAAGAGATTTAGCTTGGAAACCATGTAAGATATTTAAGAGGAAAGTGTCAACTTGGGATAATTGTGCAGAGTAGATTCCAAAGCTTTGAAATGGGAGGCAAGAACACTAGCTAACACGGTGGGAGAAGAGGCGTATGCTGAGGATCAATTCTGAGTAAATATTCTTATCCTTTACTGAGTATGCAATATCTATCTCAGTGAATGTAGACAATTTTCCTGTAGCCTCTTGGCTATATTTGCTCAGACTCTTTGCGACCCTGTGGAGTGTAGCCCACCAGGCTCCTCTGTCCATGGGATTCTCCAGGCAAGAATACTGCAGTGGGTTGCCATTTCCTTCTCCAGTATATTTTATACAGCCAGCTAAGTCCATTCTAATAGATTGTCCCATTTATATTTAGATAGATTTATATGTTCAGTCTAATAATCACATGCTAATGTTCCACATACTAAAGCTGGCCATCCCTACACTGCTCCCTTCCCACTTTGAAAATTCCTAATCTTGCTTCCGTGAGAAGCACATGGGCATAAATATACAGACACAGACACACACACACACACACACACACACACACACACACACACACAAACAGAGGACAAAGACTCTCTCCTTTGATCAAATTTTAATCAAGCTCCTATGATTCCTCTGCTTGCCTAAGCCAAACTTGGACTTCCCTCTTTGCCGTGGTATACTCTAGACTGAGCAAGAATCCTGCTAAGTCAGTTTGGCAAAAATCCCCCACTCTTGGTATCTGACTAGCCTCACTATCTTATCACTCTGCCCAGTGTTCAGCAAGAATTCTGATGAGTCAGTCTAGCAAGAATGCTCCTTGATATTTCCTCTTAATAATTTTCCGTTCACTACTCACAACCCAGTCCCATGGGAGCAAATCCCCACTGCACCTTGTTAGAGCTGAATTCTATCTCTCTACTTTACTACAAAAACCCTATTTTAGAAGCTGTCCTTGAATAAAGTCTGCCTGATAGTCTTTAACAAATGTCATGAATAATTTTTTTTTTTCTCTAACACACAGAGCATGAAGTTTTTAAGAGTAAAGAAATTGTTCAGAAATGGAGAAACAGATGAGAATTTTAAAGGTTGAAGGAAGCCAAACAGAGCAGACCCATCACTGGACGTGAAGTGTATGTTCTCTTGAAGGGGTGCAAGTCTATTTTAATGTCCTCATCTGCGAAGAGAGTGGCATAATAGGATCATGTCCATGGTCTTGCGAGACTCTCAGGAAGAAGGATCCTGGCCTTGCCCTCACAACCTAATATGCCTCTTTCTGGACAGAGCCTAAAATGTTCACTTCAAGACCAGCAGTCAGATTGGGTTAATAAATGCTCTTTGGTAAACATAAAAGCATTCATTGGCTACCAATTATACATTTATTATGCACATCTGCTTTTCTACCAAGAAGTTGTTGTTGTTGTTCAGCTGCTAAGTTGTGTCCAACTCTTTGCGACCCCATGGACTGCAGCACACCAGGCTCCTCTGTCCTCCACTATCTCCCAGAGTTTGCTCAAATTCACGTCCATTGCATCGTTGATGCTATCTAACCATCTCATCCTCTGCCAACCCTTCTCCTTCTGCCCCCTCAATCTTTCCCAGCATCAGGGTCTTTTCTAATGAGTGCAATGAGTCAGCTCTTCCCCTCAGGTAGCCAAAATATGGGAGCTTCAGTTTCAGCACCAGTCCTTCTGATGAATATTCAGGATTGATTTCTTTCAGAATGGACTGGTTTGATCTCCTTGCAGTCCAAGGGACTCTCAAGAGTCTTCTCCAACACCACAGTTCAAAAGCATCAATTCTTCAGCATTCAGCTTTCTTTATGATCCAACTCTCACATCCATACATGATTACTGGAAAAACCATAGTTTTGACTAACAGATTTTTGTCAGCAAAGTGATGTCTCTGCTTTTTAATACGCTATCTAGGTTTGTCATAGCTTTCCTTCAAAGAGCAAATGTCTTAATTTCATGGTGCATGTAACAAGTACAGGGAATAAAGACTGTAATGAATGAAGTAGTCCTTACTGAATATTATGCTTCAAGACACAAGTTGAACCTATATATTTGAATTATATTATTAAATTATTCTTGTATCTAGAATTATTGAAATTTAATAAAATAATATTTGCAGTGGCCTGGTGATGTAATGTACATGCTTCAGGTCGAAATAATAATAATCTCACTTTCAATACTCTGTTCACTTGTAATGGCCTTTTTCTTAATGTGCTTCAGGAAACAGATTTGCACTTTCTGAATGGGAGCTAAATATTTTTCCTGACACTATGTATTTAAGAGCTTTCCGAAACCATGGATAAAAGAAGCCATGAATGAGAGGATTGCAAGTGGAATTGAAGTACCCAAGCCACACTAAAAGATCAAGTACTATCATGGGAGTGGAGTAGCCTAAATATGGGTCAATCAAAACAGCAAGAAAACAAGGCAGCCAGCAAGCTAGAAACACTCCCATTACTATGCCCAGGGTCTTGGCTGCTTTGCGATCCTTTTTCTTGGATAAGTTTTTTCTTATGTCCCCCTTTGTGTTTTCAGGCATGTTGTCTATAACTCTAGCATGTCGTTTGGAAACAATAAAGATTTTGCCATAAATACCAACCATAATGGAGCCAGGAGTAAAAAAACATGTAGTGAATAATATCGTCCCCCAAAATTTGTTGAAAGCAAGTGCACAGAAATTGAAGCAAGCAACGAGAATCTCATAGTTCTGCATACCAGAAACATTGGCCTTGGATAGAACTAAACCAAAAGAAAGAAGAGCAGGGGCTGACCAGCAAAAAGCCAGCAGCCACTTTATCATGGAGATGGTCATTGTGGTTGTGTAGTGTAGAGGGTAACACACAGCATAAAATCTGTCAATAGCAATGGAGCAGAGGTGGAAAATGGAGGCCAGACTTAGCATCATGTCAAAGCTTGTGTGGAATTTACAAAAGCCATCTCCAAAATACCAGCAGCTCTCTACTGATCGCACCATGCTATACGGCATAACGACCAAACCCAGCAGAAAGTCTGTGGTTGCCATGGAGAGGATCAGAAAGTTTGTGGGAGAGTGAAGCTGCTTGAAATGTGATATGGAAATGATTATGACCAAGTTTCCAAAGATAGTGATGAACATGGCTCCGATCATAATTGAGTACATTATTACTCGAATATGAAAATGGCGGTTGGTGGGAGGACAGGACTTATTTCCAAATTTTGGACAACTGGATAAATCTTCAGGAATATGAGTTAGATCCATGGTGCTTTATCTCTTTAAGCTCCCTTTTTGGAAGGTAAGTCAATGTTTCTTCTCCTCTTAAAATGATTCCAGGAAATGTCAGCCCTGAAAGTACAATGAAGTCACCTGTCATTAATTCAATTATAATATATTTAAATATTTAAAATTATATCAGTGGTGCTTACTTTCTGAGTTGTTTGCTGCTCACTCTTTCCTGTTCTAGTCAATTTTCTTCTATTCCATCCTTCTCTTTATTCATTTGAGGTGGGCTTATCTATTGGCTGTTTTATTCCCCATAATATATCAGAAGCTTTTTAAACATTTACTCCACTTACATGAGACATCTAAAATAGTCAGATTCATGAAGTAGATAATACAGCATTGGTTACTGGGAGAATTGGGTAGTGGTTGTTCAATGTGTTTAAAGTTTCAGTTATGCTAGATGACTAAGGTCTAGAAGTCTGCAAGACATAATGCCTATAATTAATAAGATGAAATTGTGCACTTGAAAATTCATTAAGATGGTGTATCTCATGGTAAGTGTACCGCAAAGAAGCAAATCAGAGAAACACAAGAAAACCTTGGGACATGTTGGATATGCCCAGTACCTTGATTATGGTGATGGTGTCACAGGTATTTGTGTATGTTCAAATTCATCAAATTCTGTAGTTCTCAGCATATTAATTATACTGCAATGAAGCTGTTTTTTTAGAAAAAAGGGTCAACTTTCACCTTAAACAGTCACTTCCCTGGAAACTCCTTTGAATTGCAATATAAAAATACTTAATCCACAAAAGCCAAGTGAAATCGCAATGTTTTTGCTTCTGCATTCTTTCAATAATTTGAAATCTTTTGTAAAAAGTCTACAGATATTTCAAGAGTTGTAAATGGCATGTGGCTACTGAAGTGCACAGAAGACCAGGCACCTCCGATGGGTTAAACCATAGCTTCTATAGTCTGCTCCCTTCCTCTCCTCCGCTATCTTCTACTCTTCATTTCCCTTCCTTGTCTTCCTGGAGTCTTCTACCTTATCTGAGATTTTAACTCGTGCAGCCGTGTCACATCCTGCATCTCCGACTGACTCAGTACAGTCACAGATTTCCCAATCACAGACTTTGGCCAATCAAATCTCACATGACTCATATTGATCATAGGAATGCCTTACTCTCATTCTACTGGGAGGCAAAGAACTAGTCTATCTTGTTTTCCCTGAAATCTTGGTACTTAGGTTAATGCTTGTAGCAGGCACTAGATGCATATTTATGAATGAATAAGCATACACATAAATGTCAAATTATGGCTGTTTTAAAATACTTGCACTGTTCCAATAAAAGCAACTGTTTCAATACACTTATAACTTTGCTGGAAAGAATCTAATAATTTCAGGAGCTCAGTTCATGAAAGTATCTTTCTATATTAAATTGCTTCTGATACTGCTATAAAAGAATCACTCCCAGAGTAGCGTTTAGAAAGGCAGACCTGAGAGATTTTCTCTAAACATATTTTACTGATCCTTTAGGCTAGTGAGATAAGACCTAAGGATTTTGAGTCCAGATATGGATATGAAGGTATTAGTAAAAGGAAAACAAACAAACAAATAAAAAATGCTGCAGGACTTTCAGCTAAGTGCCTTTGGGAGATGGTGGCAGGGGTGGCATAAGAACCCACTCAGTGCTCCATGACCCTGTTAAGATGGAGTGATATGTGTGCTCAATCATATCCAACTCTTGGCAACCCTATGGACTGTGGCCCACCAGGCTACTCTGTCCATGTGGTTTTCCAGGCAAGAATACTGGAGTGAGTTGCCATTTCCTGCTCCAGGGGATCATCCCGACCTGGGGATTGAACTTACATCTCCTGTGTCTTCTGCATTGCTGGTGGATTCCTTACCCGCTAAGTCATCAGGGAAGCCAGGATGGGGTTATGCTGGCTTTAACGTCCCTTATGCATTGTTTGGTGCCTTACCTTTGCAGAGTTGGAAGTGTTCTTCCTGCTGACTCACATACTCTGAAAAATTAAAGAAAATACTATGTTGGAGACTTACAACTTACAACTACACTTACATACTTCTAAGTTCATGAACATGAAAGCAAAGTACACTATTATCCAAATTTAGTGTTTCCTCCTTTTTATCTGCTGAAAAAAATCAGATGGATTAGCAAAGGAAAATAAACATTAGTGTTGTTAGTTCTTTAATATACTAACTCAAATTAAATGTTTTGATTTTTTATTTGTTTGATAAGGTTGATAAAAAATGTGCTTTCACTTTCTCCTTTAACTTTTGATTGTTCCATGCTTCCTGGCATCTAAGGCTGAAGCCTAAAGTATTTCAGCTGTTAGAAAACTGCTTAAGAGAACTATGTAAAGTTTCAAATCCACTTCTCAAAATGTAGACTTTTCTGAATGTCTCTGCTTATGTCTTTCAGTTAGGAGAAAGAAACTTTTTACTGAAAGTAGGACCAACTTAAAGACCTGGAACTTACACCAATAATAACTGTTTCATTTCTCTCTCCATTGGTCAGAAAGTAATGTCAATGTTTATAGTATCTATTTAAAAAAAATGATCTTAAACTCCAAGTCTCAAATATAAATTCTATTTTCTAAAGCTCCAAAATCATTCTAAATTATTCTAAATAAATAATTCATCTAAATAATAAATCATTCTAAATTAGCCTAAAAAGCAGATGCCATTCAAACAACAGATTTCTGTTAATTTTTTAATTAAATAAAGATAAAAGTATGATTTTATGAGTAATTTCAAAATTTGAACTAGTATCTATAGTGCAACAGTGTAAATGGTATATGTAGTATAACAGGAAAGATAAGCAAAGGTTTGAAATTTATGAAAATCCATGATGTTGGATATTTTCTGTAAGTTCTCTAATGTCTTACATAGACTGTAATGAATATTTGAAGACTACAATAACAGAAACTGCTTGGAAGCCATTCCAAGGATGACAATAAGTAGACTGCATTCAAATGCTGTGCTGAAAAGTAAGATTAAGAGAAGAAAAAAAAACTTTTTTCTGTGACTGATTTCTATGACAAATGATTAATTTATTCTAAATAAATGGAATCACAGTCTGTAAGCAAGCTTCATAAAACCATATGGCAGTTGGCAATGGGCAGAGACAACCCCTTGAAAACAGTCTTCTTAAAAACATCTGGGAGCAGGAAAAACATTTTAACTGACAGTAAATACATACCAGAAATAGGCAGAGAAAACTCCATGTCAGAGAGCGGGGAGAGAAAGGAGAGTGAAAATTAAAACCATAGTAAATATCTTTCTCATAAATAGCCATAAACTACAGCATTATTGAAAAGCAGAAGAGAAAAATCTTTACTACAACTATCAAAGAAGTATGAGGTCCAATGGAAATTGATCTAAATTAATGTTTTATAAAATATATGTGTACTTTTTTTGGTGGATACCTGGAAACTGTCTGGAAAAACATGCCTTGGCTAGAACATCAGAGCACTAGCTTGCCTGTGATAAATGATAAATCTTTTCAGCATCTGTTGGCATGGAAACCCCGGTTATAATCCTTCCTTCAATCTACAGTCCCCCAGCAACCTTTGGTCATGTAGTCTCTATGTTCCCTGCAAACACCTGTGGTTTGGCCAATCCCCTTTTCTCCAGCTGACCCTTCATCTCTTGAAAATCTCAAGGCTCAGCTCAAATATCATTTCATTCTAGAAACCTTTTTTCACTCTCCCAGTTGGACTATTGGGATGACTAAAGGTCTTAGAGTTACGTTGTCTTCCTTGTTTTACAGCAGACTTTGATTTCAAATATCTTTTATTTCCTTTTCCTAGCGCAACACTGAAAAAATACGCCTTATGCTAATTTACAATTCAAATTTTTGAGAAATTTACACTTAATGAGATTAAATGCCCTTAACCGTCTAAGGCTGGCAACACTTAGTACAGAACCATGTTCATCTCAGGCAAGCAGTAATGGCTTGATGAATTAAATGGAAAGAAATCAATTCCAACACATTAAGAAACCTACAGAATAGGCACTTTGTCTCATGGTATTAGAGACCTTTGGTTTGAGAAAGATTAAATCACTAGCGAAACAATAAATTTTGTTTATTTAAATATTTAAAAAAAATTTTATGATGTTGTGTTGGTTTCTGCCATACAACAGCTCAGATCAGCCATAATTATCCATACATCCCCTTCCTCACTAACCTCCCTCCCCTCCCCTCGTCCCATCCCTCCAGGTCATCACAGAGCAGCAGGCTGGGCTCCAGGTGCTACCCAGGAACTTCCCACCAGCTATCCATCTTACACCCGATAGTGTGTATATGCTGATACTGCTTTCTCCATTCTTCCATTCTCTCCCTCCCGCAACGTGTCCGCAAGTCCAATCTCTACATCTGCATCTCCAGTCCTTCCCAGCAAATAGGTTCATCAATATAATTTTTCTAGGTTTCATATATATGAGTTAATACACTGTATTTGTTTTTCTCTTTCTGACTTACTTCATCCACCTCACTAGAGCTTACTCAAATTTGTTATTTTTTACAGCTTATTTAGAAAGTACCTAATGAATCTTCTCCCTAGACATACTGAACTGAACTGGACATACAATATTCCAAATGAAACCCAGTCAACAAAAATTCTGGATATTTTAAAGTCTTTGAATTACTTGAAAGGCACATTTCTACTGCCTTTTCCCAACTTTTTCATGTATAGAATGTAACTAAGGTCTTGAGGGAGAGTGCTACTAAATGCTGTAACTAACATTACAACCCAGGTCTTTTGGTTCCTGCTGCAATAAGCTTCCCATGATTGCTTACTATCTAAGAATGGGAAATAATAATAATATCAATAAGAAAGTCTCTGGCTTCATCTATTCATATTTCTTTCATACAGTCCTTGCTTATTAAATTATGGCTCATAATCGGCTATGGATGACATCATCTCCTGGGAACATTCTTGGAAATGAAAACTCTCAGACCCCTCCCCAAATGCACTTTTGGCAGGATATTTATGTTATTTACATGACCATTGGATTCTGGAAGAATTGTTCTAGACAGGAAAGAAACTGTATTTTTAGTTTGAATATGAAATGAGTGGATAATCTTGAGGAATAAAGAGTGACAGACTAACTTAAGTAAATGTTGCTTGCAAGAGAAAAAGTATCAAAAGTGAAATGTATAGTGTCTGGCAGTGAATTAAATAGTATATACCAAGAATTTTTTTATTTAGCTATATTATCAAGGAGGAGAGTGCATTTTAACATTATTAAAATACATATGTAACATATTTACTATAAATTATGTCTTACATGGTTCCTGTTATCTGCGTAAACATTTTAAAAATGCCACTACATAGAGACTTTAAACCTTGCAATTTTGATGGAAAATTTAAGGCATTTTAAAATAATAATTATTTTGCAGCTAGAAAAAAATCCTGCCTTTCCTTTTGCATGCTACTGGTAACAATTTTTGGTTCTTTATAAAATTTAACTACTGTTATTCAGTTATTTTGGAGAAGAGAATAAATCAGGTTTTAAAAAAACAGGATAGTACATTTCTAATTCTTTTTATTGACTCAGTACCTTCTTTCTCTTGATAAGTTAGTTGTGAATCATTGTGTCTCTTCTGCTGGCTTTGCAGGCATCGGGTCAGGATTGTAGAGGGTGTAGTGTCAAGGACTGAGATATCTTTGCTCACCAGTTCAGGATCGTAGGGAGTGCAGTGTCAAGGACTGAGATATATGACTCATAGAAGTTGACCTTTCCCTCCAGAGGACTGGAGTGAAGAACACAGATTCAGGAGTTCCTAGAGGGGAACTAAGCTCACAGTCCTGGTGGAATTGCTCTTTTAACTCTCTTTACTGAGGGATATTGACCTATTTTGTCTGTTTTTAATATCCCAGATAGTTTTCAGTGCTTTTTTCCCCCCCTCAAATAAAAGATGACAATTTCACATCAATTTCATGGTCATTTGGGCTTCATTCTGGCAAAATGGGGTAGCAAAATTTCTATATCTTAAAAACATATAGACTTATGTAGCTAAATTAAGTGTTGGCTGATATCCAAAGTAGAAATAATTATCTGAATCATAAAAGGCCTCAGTTTACACTTTGATTCCTGGATGAAATAAGAAGATATTGGGATGGGATAAAAGTATTTATTTTTGCTTCAGTGATTTGCACCAGTTTAATAGAATCCTTAGTTAAAAAAGCAAAAGTAGACAATCCCATTAAATCTTGATGAAAACTAGTGCAGTAAATCAGGCACACTGAACAAGGAGTCCAGAAAGCTAAGTTCTAGTTCTGCTTCTACAGAAAATTATATCAGTTCAGGTCAGTTCAGTCACTCAGTCATGTCCGAGTCTTTGCAACCCCGTGGACTGCAGCACGCCAGGCTTCCCTCTCCATCACCAACTCCCAGAGCCTGCTCAAACCCATGTTCATAGTGTTGGTGATGCCATCCAACCATCTCATTCTCTGTTGTCCCCTTCTCCTCCTGCCTTCAATCTTTCCCAGAATCAGTCTTTTCCAATGAGTCAGTTCTTCACATCAGGTGGCCAAAGTATTGGAGTTTCAGCTTCAATACAATAGAAAACTGTATAGTCTACGGCCATACCACCCTGAACATGCCCGATCTCGTCTGATCTCAGAAGCTAAGCAGGGTGGGGCCTGGTTAGTACTTGGATGGGAAAACTGTATAATCTGGGGCAAATCATTCAATCTCCCTGGGTTCAGCTTTCTCGTCTATAGTGGCCTATAAAATTCTGAGTGTGAGGGGAAACAGTACTGACTTTGGGAATGAATGGAGGATGAACAGTGGAAGAAGGAAGGTAGGTGGGATGCTGGGTTACTGTCTTTCAACTAGTAAACAAGCCAGGATGACCACATTCTGAAACTAAAAAGTGCCTCAAAGAGACAGAGACTTAGAGAACAAATGTGCGGACACCAAGGTGGGAGGGAGGGGGTGGGATGAACTGGGAGATAGGGTTGACATGTGTACGCTACTATGTATGAAGTAGATGGCTGGTGAGGGCCTGCTGTATATGATTCCACTTCTATGAGATCCCTAGAGTAGTCGAATTCACAGAGTTCCAAAGTACTTTGGTAGCTGCCAAGGGTTGGGGAGTAGCGGGTAGTAGGGTGGGGAAGGGGCATGGGGAGTTTTTAACGGGAACACAGTTTGGTTGAGGAAGGTGAAGAGTTTGAGAGATGGATGGTGGTGAGAGGTGCATAACGATGTGAATGTACTTACTGCCTCTGCACTGCACAGTGAAATATGGTTAAAATAATTTTTAAAAAGTACAGAGAAAATTATGTTTCAGTGAAAAGGGGAATACATGAGTAGAATATTTAGCTACATGAATGATTTTTAAAGTATGAGAATTCTAATAGAGACGAAGCATCATGAGAAACTTTTGGACCACATAGGACTGACGAATTGTGACTTCATCCGTAAACACCAGAATAAACAACCACCACCATCACAAACACTATCATTCTGTAAAAATAACACCATTTCAAAGACACTGCACTGTTCCACCTCAACCTTTTCGGTTAGAGGGTGAGACTCGCCTATCAGTAGGACAGCAAGGATGGAAGGGACATAGAAGGTCTGGAGAACACGGGTCAGCCCATCTTCAGGCAGCCAGGTAAGACTACCACTTAAGCTGGCTGCTGGGTATCACTATTTCCTTGTCATCTGTGCGATGAACTAAGATCAAAGCACATTTGTGGGGAGTTATGGAAACATTTCCAAAAAGAGAAAAAATTTGCTCACTGATACAATGTAATGGAAAAATTAAACAAACAAAAAAAATTTCAGTGAAACACAGTATCCTTACACACACACAAAACACATCCACAGACATCCTTGTATATATACAACTAAGATGAAGACTTCATAAGGTAATCTTTACCTTCAATGCAGGTCATGTATTCTGAAACTATCTACTTCCTTCTATTCTGGTTTGCTTTTCATTAAAAATGTTTTTTGCAGTCAGTGGTAAACTAGAACCTCTCATGTCCATGTGAAGGAGTAGGTTAACTTTTGAGGAATTTTAGAACCTGTTGACATTACATTCATAGCTTAAAATCAGCTCAATGGGAAAATAAAAATCAGATTCTACAAATCTGGGCTTTTTTCTTTCTTTTCAGAGCCAGATGTTAAACATTTTCTAGCACACCACTGGTTGCAGACTTCTAAGTGGATTTTACAAATTACTAATAGGTCACAACTTATAGTTTAAAAGTCATTGAATAGCAAATGCTGTATAAAGTTTCTTGTACCCAGTTTCTTGTACCCACCACCATAAATAGAAGCTTTCTTCTTTGCTTCCTCCTCCTGCTACTCTATTATTCAAAGATATATGTACACGTATTAAGCAAAAAGGAGTGATTGAGTCAAAACACAACCTTTTTTTGATATGTACTTCACATTTAAAAACTTCACATTTAAAAACCGGAATACCAAATAGCCATACAAAGTGTGAATGAGCCTGAGAAAGAAAGGAAGGTGCCGGCTGGAATTCTCTGGCTAGTAAAATAGAAAAATAGAAAATTAAAAAAAGAAAAAACACCAACTGCATGATTAAGATGATACTTGGATGGAAATGTGGATGGAATCTGGGACCTCAGTTACACCGTGTCCATTTCTTATTTTATTAAAAAAAAGTTCAATCTCACAACTGTAAAATCTATTAAAGGCTTACATTTCAGCTATCAAATGACTGATTCTTGACAGCATATGGCTTCTTGAAATTGTTATTTCCAAATTTACTCACCTATAATTTTTAGTGGTCGATGTTTCAAAATACCTCTGATCAGACTCTGAGGAAGAAAATGTAAATGAAATATCACACAAGATGTGTGTGATGGTGAGGATGGGGAGAGCAATATTTGAGCTCAACTTGTGTTCTGCTTCCTTCCAAATGGTACAAAACTTTGTGTGTGTTCTCTTCTTCCCCTTTCTGGCTTTTCCTACCTTCTCTTCACCTTTCTGAGTTTCTTTCTTCTCTAACTATAAGCAGTAAGAACTATTCTGAAAAGACAGGATTTGGGGTTCAAAGAAAAAGTTCTTTTTCCTCTCAAGTTTTAGAAGCTAAAAACTTTCCATGGTAGCCAAAGTCACACATACATGCACACAGAGTTTAATTTCATTCTTCTAAATTCCAGTCCTTTGCTTCTATCCACTCACACAGAATAAGTCTAATCAGTTTCTTTTTCTGTAAACAAATTAGCATTATGAAAATGTGAGCTGAAAATTTTACCCAGGAAAATGTACTTCAGGGCTCTGTGAAACCAGGGATAGAAGAAACCATATATTAAGGGATTACATGTGGAGCTAAAATAGCCTTTAAACCAGAGATAAATCCATGAACCTATGGTCACCTTATCTTCGACAAAGGAGGCAAGGATATACAATGGAAAAAAGACAACCTCTTTAACAAGTGGTGCTGGGAAAACTGGTCAACCACCTGTAAAAGAATGAAACTAGAACACTTTCTAACACCATACACAAAAATAAACTCAAAATGGATTAAAGATCTAAATGTAACACCAGAAACTATAAAACTCCTAGAGGAAAGCATAGATAGGCAAAACACTCTCCGACATAAATCACAGCAGGATCCTCTATGACCCACATCCCAGAATTTTAGAAACAAAAGCAAAAATAAATAAATGGGACCTAATGAAACTTAAAAGCTTTTGCACAACAAAGGAAACTATAAGCAAGGTGAGAAGACAGCCCTCAGATTGGGAGAAAATAATAGCAAACGAAGCAGCAGACAAAGGATTAATCTCAAAAATATACAAGCAACTCCTCCAGCTCAACTCCAGAAAAATAAATGACCCAATCAAAAAATGGGCCAAAGAACTAAACAGACATTTCTCCAAAAGACATACAGATGCCAAAAAAACACATGAAAAGATGCTCAACATCACTCATTATCAGAGAAATGCAAATCAAAACCACAATGAGGTACCATTACACACCAGTCAGGATGGCTGCGATCCAAAAGTCTACAAGCAATAAATGCTGGAGAGGGTGTGGAGAAAAGGGAACCCTCTTACACTGTTGGTGGGAATGCAAATTAGTACAGCCACTATGGAAAACAGTGTGGAGATTTCTTAAAAAGCTGGAAATAGAACTGCCATATGACCCAGCAATTCCACTTCTGGGCATACACACTGAGGAAACCAGATCTGAAAGAGACACGTGCACCCCAATGTTCATTGCAGCACTGTTTATAATAGCCAGGACATGGAAGCAACCTAGATGCCCATCAGCAGACGAATGGATAAGGAAGCTGTGGTATATATACACCATGGAATATTACTCAGCCATTAAAAAGAATTCATTTGAATTAGTTCTAATGAGATGGATGAAACTGGAGCCCATTATACAGAGCAAAGTAAGCCAGAAAGATAAAGACCAATACAGTATACTAACACATATATATGGAATTTAGAAAGATGGTAACGATAACCCTATATGCAAAACAGAAAAAGAGACTCAGATGTATAGAACAGACTTGTGGACTCTGTGGGAGAAGGCGAGGGTGGGATGTTTCAAGAGAACAGCATCGAAACATGTATATTATCTAGGGTGAAACAGATCACCAGCCCAGGTTGGATGTATGAGACAAGTGCTCAGGCCTGGTGCACTGGGAAGACCCAGAGGGATCGGGTGGAGAGGGAGGTGGGAGAGGGTACCGGGATGGGGAATACATGTAAATCCATGGCTAATTCATTTCAATGTATGACAAAAACCACTGCAATGTTGTAAAGTAATTAGCCTCCAACTAATAAAAATAAATGGAAAAAAAAAAAATCCCACCTGCCTTATGGCCAAAAAAAAAAAAAAAAAAAAAAGTCTTTTAAAGATGACATAGTTCAAAATCTTTGGGGGCTCCTTTCTGCCAATTTTAAATTCAGCACACAAAATTTATCTTTTTATTGTAAGCTTATGTCCATTTCTAGAAAATAAGGACCACAGCTTATCACCCAATCAAAACACTGAGATTTTGCTTGAAATGTTTCTTCTTGTTTCTGAAAATTCAACTCACATTAAGGGTTTTTTAAGCCACTTTAATCTGAAAAAAAAAAAAAATAGTACTGGTTCTACCTGAGTCTGATAATGACTGCTTATTCATCTGAATCACTAAAGCTTCCACTGTGGTGGCTCTCCTTGTTAATCAAATGCTTCCCATTGAGATTTTCAGTTTGCACTGCACTGCTATTACCCTGTTCCTACTTTGTGTTTACCCCTATCCTCCCCTACCTACCCCATGAAAAAAATCTATTTTAAACAAGTAATTTTTGCACTACAAGAAAGAGAGAAACTAAGGAAGGAAAGAAAGATGAGAGGGAGGAACACATGCATGATGATTTCCTGTATCGGCTAAGCAGAAATAGTGATGTAATGCTGTGATCTAAGTTTAAAATTGATAGTCTGAGTTGCATTTTTAAATTTCATCTCTGCACCTATGAACCAGGTTGACAATGGCAATGTTAACTATAAATAATAATAGTTTGAATTTCTTGATCTTGTACTATCTCATTTTCAAAAACCTCATTTCATTTCCATGAAAATTTCAGAGAGGTTGAGAATATGTCGATATTATTCAGTGCCGGGAGCCAGCACACGAGATTCCACCTGTGACAAGGTCGTGAGGAGAAGACTGGATAAGCAAGGCAAATCAGAACTTCAGGGATTTCGAAAAGCTGCCTCGGCGCTCACCCTAAAGATGCTCTCTGTCTTTCTGATGCTTGCTGTATTAGACTACTCCCTAATTTCTGTGACACGGGCAGAAGGCCTTCCCCGATCTCTCTCCAAACAGAATCAACTTAGAACTTTAATTAATATGTCCCCCGGATGGCGGTATCCTATAAGATTATCCAGGATGAAAAGAGTGTTTCAATTTAGACCCCTTTGCTGGCATTCTAGCCTGCTTGACAAATGCGTACTGATGCACATGACTGCTCACAACACCTTAATCATGAACAGCATAAAGAACCTGATCACACAAAAAGCCCTAATAGGCACAGAGCCCTTCGGGGGGTGAGGAAGCCCTATTAGAGAACACAAAAATATTATTCTAAAAGTGGTTAAAGATTTAGAAAAATAAGAGTTTAGAATTGTTAATTTTAACCAGGAATGCTAAACAGGGGCTGCCTCACCTGAGCTGCAGTCTTTGTGTGGTAAACCTTTTAGATAAATTTAACTGATAACTTCTGCAAAAGGACTGACCTTTGTGTTCATTAAAGAATAGATTACCGAAAACAGCTTTGCTTTCACCTAGGTCATAAAATGTCAATAGGCCCCAAGGCCAGAAGATAATGTATAAGACTCTCACAAAGAAGTATGCAGAAAACACCCTGGTTTTGTGAAGGATAAGCCAATGTAATATTAAACTATCTTCCCCTTAAAAATGTTCTAACTTAGAATATAAAAGCTACGGTAAAAAAATAAAGATTTGCCGGACTTTGCTGCACACCCCCAGTCTGGTCTCTCTCTCTCTTTTTCTCGCCGACGCCGTTCATCCTGAGGGTACCCCTGGATCCAACTGAGGCTGGACCCCAGCAATTCAGGTCTCTATCCTTAGCATTTAGCTGACACAAAGACTGTTATATATCAGGTGCTCAATAAATTTGTTAGGTGAGTGAATAAATGATTTAATGAATGAGTAAGTCTTCACTACAACTCTGAAAGTTACATGTTACCCATTTACAAACAAGGAAACTGAAATTTAAGGTTTGGTGAATTGCTTTCTGTTGTCAAACATGACTGAATAGCTACTAATAACCTGTGTTTGAGTATAAACGCAAGCCAAAATATTTCCAGGGTTCATCCCAGCAATGATTCTGGTTTCTTTTGTTGGTAGTCTTATTTGATGGTTGTTACAGGGGTGGGAAGAAGAGAATTTAGATGACTCAATTACCCGGGTAATGACTACCATTTTTCACTTCTTTTTTAATTAGAACAAACATTAATCTAGTTATACATATTCAAATTTAGCATTGTGGTAATTGCCTCTCTAGTCTACTACATGTAAAGCAGGTGTTGGTATGGTGTTTTGTTGTGTTTTTGTTTTATTGTTCTTGCAACATGAACCATGGAAGAAAAATCAATGGGTTATCTGTGTGTTTTTCCTTATTCTCCCAACTTTTATTAATTTTCTGCACTTGGGAGAATGTACAGACAAAATGAAACTGCTAGGCCACTTAAAAATAAAGTTATTAGCACATTTCAAACTTATGATATCACTGTTTTCAAACTCTTCTGTTTATTAAAAGTAAAGTCTTATGAGAATTGCTAATAAGAGTAATTAAACGTGTTGATTGGATATTTACCAATGTCCACAGTACTTCATTTACAGTTTGACATTTGGAACCTGCAATTCGAGCTCATGGTCCAAAGAGACCAGTATAAGCGCATTTCTCTCTTTACTCTCATTTGCTAAACTTTTGAGTAAATGGAGACCAGAGGGCATCATTAACATGTTGGCTGTTCTGCCTTGATTGTGATGGGAAATAATTTCACACTATTATTCATTGGGGAAGTAGTTGTACTTAGTGGAGACAGGAAAACATTTATCACAGAACTGTATTTGAAGAACCAAATGTTTGGGGAATTCTACAAATTATTAAGCAAAGTGCAAATCTGAGAAAGAAAACTTTAGCTGATGCAAGAGAGGCAAAATAGTGACCTCTGTCTTAGTCTATCTTCTTATTTGATGTAAATGTGTTTACAGAGCTGGTATCATGAACAAATCAGGAAGATTTCAGAAAAACCATTCAGCTAACATTACATTTCAACTCTGGTTGGAGATACAAGAAAACTCTTAACTATATACTCATTTTGTTTGTCCCTTAATGAGCAATTCCAGATTTTAGAATTGTAAGTAAATTACATGCATTGGGTAAATTAAGATTCTGTGTCAAAAAAGGGTATAACATGACAAAGACAACTTTTGTCTTAGTAGCAAGAATTTTTTTGCTTGCCTTTGGTTGTGGCCTTTGTCATCTATTTTCACTGAATTTTAAGCATAGGTTATAAATGGTCCTTACAACTTGAATTTCTTCAATGATTGCAGCTAATCTGATGCCTCCATGGTATGCTGCAGGCTCACCATCAACTCTTATTGCCAAAACACCTTTCTTGCTTCAAGGGATACTAACAATAGTGGAATAGTTAGTAGAATAGTGGATTTGGGGATTTCATAAAAAGAAAGTTTTAAACGTGGGCAAACATGCTGCCGCACTGCGCTGTGCTGTCGCTTCGGTCGTGTCCGACTCTGTGCGACCCCATGGACTGTATGTAGCCCACCAGGCTCCTCTGTCCAAGGGG